CCCCCGCGCCAGGACGCAGCCCGCCGCGCCGCTGCCATCTTGGGAGTGCAGCGATGCGGGAGCCGAGCGGCGCGGGTGCGGACGGCAGGCGGCCCGGCCTAACAGCCCCGACCTCCGCGCCCGGCTTCGGCTGACTGCGGCGGGTGTGTGTCTGGGGAGAGGGGGGAGGCGGTGCTGTGGATCCGTCTGGCTGCGCGTGTGTGCGGTGTGTGTGTATGTGTATGCGGTGTGCGTGTGTGTATGTGTGAGCCAGAGCTCAGCGTTTCTGGGGGAGGAGAGGGAAGGGAGAGAACGTGGGAATGTAGCTTTCTACTCTGTGGCACGCTCCCTGGATGAGTTTCTCGACACACAGAGACACAGAGAAGGGTGGAAAGAGAAGAATCCGCACAAATAAATCATAAATAATACCGCTTTATTGCTGCCTGATTTTCCCTTATCGGAAACCATTCATGTTTGCAGTTGCTGAGGTTATTGAGGGTCGTAAAAAACGGATTCGATCTAAACAAGAAAGATAAAAAACAAAAGCAATACTGTGGAACCCTCAAGTATGGGAGGCTTCTTGGCCTGGAGATAAATTTCATAGCTATGCAAAACCCAGGAACATTGGAAATTTAACAATGTGCCTTAAAAATATCAAATTAAATGTAGGTGGTGGTAACATGCATGTTAACAATTTCTCTTATGATAGATGGTTCAAATTAACTTCCAGGAAAGTGCGTTAACATTGCCTTTGAAGGGCTCTGGGCTGAGCCTCAGAGAACACTGCCCGCCTTTTATTATTGTAACCTGCAAGAGGGAAACATATAAACACCCTGGACAGCAGGTAATGGGGGGAAATATAAACAAAGCCAGAAAAGACTGTGGTGGGGAGCGGAGGAGCTGCTTAGACTGGGTCTTGGGCCCTGCCCAGTGTGAGTAGGGTTAGCGGCAGTTTTACCACCATTATTGGCACTATTGTTTTTAATTCCTCCATTCCGAGAACAAATAAACCATCCTAATAAATCTATCCTAGAGCCAGGCCCTCCAAAGGACAAATTAAAACCATTCTTGAGTAGAAATGGCAAACCCCTTTCCCAAGGCCTTGTTCAACACTAAGCAGTGGTATAATCTATCAATATTTCCTGGCTTTCATGCGTGAAGAATCGTATTTACATTGTATTAAAATGACTCTTAAATTTGCACAATATTGTAATGTAGCAAATGTAGTATTAATATCGATCTGAACAGCAGATAATTTATTTAGACAAGAGCATCTCATTTGTATGCAGGGTGGCCAGAGCCATGGACTTGGACTGCCCCCCTTTTACTTTTAGTGCAAATGCAGGTCTGCTACTCAGAGAGGGAGTTATTCTTTGCAAGAGGATAAAGTGTGAACCTTAAAACAAATGGAAGATTTATTGAATAGCCTCCTTGGTGTTTGAATGCATTTTATCTTAATAAGTCTTCTTGATGGAAACGTGTTTTTCAAAAGTGACAAAGAGCCTGGGAAGCAGAGACCAGGCTGCTTTAGCTCTGGCAGGCCTGGGGACTGGCTGGCTCTTCACTACCCAGCTCTTTAGCCAAATTCATCAGGAAGCAAGCCAGTGTCAGGAAAGCTGGGGTTTTAAAATCTCATCCAGCAAGGCGTCTTGAAGCAGAAATGTGACTTGGAGCTGGACAGAGGTCTTCTCAAGAGAGGTTTCCCCTCCCTTTTCCTTGTTCATCCTAAGGTTCTTTGAACCCCCTTGACTTTGCTGATCTCATGCCCTTTCCCAGAGAGAGGCGAGGACTGTGCAGGCTGCAGGGAACATTGTAAAATTATTCATGGTTTTCTTTTAACTTTCCATCCTAAAACATTCCTGTGAAAAGTGTTCTCTAAAAAAAAAGAAAAAGAAAAGAAACAGAAAAGAAAAGAAAAAGGAAAGTTTTCCGAGGAGGAAGTTTCTTGAACCAAGTATTCAAGGTGCAAGGGGTGCCGAGAAATGAGAAATGAAGAATAACATTATTTTGTTGGAAAATTGCAAGCGGAATATCTGAAAATGTAAATAGAGCTGTCAGTAGTAATTCACCCCCTCTCCTCCCTACAACACATTTCCACTTTTGACTAAACTTGTTTTGATTGCTAGCCAGAAGGGAATTCATGGGAAGCCTTCTCAAAGTCATCCAACTTTTAAGCAAACTTTGAATGATGGAAAAGACAGTTTTAGACATATTGTCCAATGTGGTTTGCTCTGGCTAAGTATTTGATGCTGGCACGGGGGTCCCCCGTGGTGGTTTTCACATTTGGCCTCCGGATGGTATGTTTAATCCTTAATATTCTGGACAGCATCCAAGGACTAGGTCGTGACCTGAACTTACTTTAAAAAAATTCATTAATTCATACACCTAAATATTCCTTCAAATAAATGAGACCTTCTCTGAAAGGAGCCATCTAGTTAACATAAATACAATAAATCCATTTTCAGCACAATAATAACTTTGATTTCTAGTTATGGCAGCTGATTACATCTATATTTCCTGAACACTAAACTCTTCTGAATGCACAACATGAAATACATTCTCTGCACTACAAAGGCTAAGCCGGGAGGGCCTGAGCAGTAATGGTTATTTATTTACATAATTTCTTTTCCATACACTGTAGAAGAAATATTGAGGGTTCCCACATTGACACTACCATATAAAAAGTGAGACATGGGTTTTACACATTCTGCTTCTTTTTCTGATCTGGGATATAACTCAATGAGAGTAAATATGTACTGCATTATACCCCCTGCTCACCTAGCTTTGCCACCACAACCCCCCAGCTGATCTGAAAGCTCATTCCGTCTGTCCACAGTTGGGGGAATCTTGTTGCGGGGGAATGAATGAATACCCAGAGTGGAAAGCCAGGCCAGAACCAGGGCTCCTGCAGGAGAGAGGCCACAGGGCTGGCCCGCTGGTGCCTAGCAGGCCCAGCTGTAGGCATTCTGCCTCTGAAGGTGAAAATAAATGGAAACAACCAATACAAGGCCCAAGCACACCTTTCCTGGGCTTCTCTCTCTTGGTGTGTCCTATCTGGGTGTCAAGCAGTGACCTTATACTCTGGGGACTCTGATTGTAAATATCAGATAAATATTTTACTGACCTGAAGGGATGCTGTATGGATCTTTTTTAAAAAATCATCTAGAATATGTTCACAAGCATTGTCTGAGGCTGAGACTGATCAGGGTATAATGGGCAGATAATGCATGTGAAGCAAGATATATACGAACATGGGTCTGCATGATGGCAATTCAGTGGGGCCGGGTTAGCAAACAGGGCCCAGGGCAGACCCCTGGATCCCCTTGCTAAACAGTGAAACCCCAAAGAGCTCCTCTGCTGGCCCTGCTAGCTATGAAAATCTCACTGACTTCTCAAGTCAGGCCAGTGAGGATGCACCCAACCCGCTGGCTGGAGTAATTAGACATCTGAGGAGAACCCAGTCTGGAGCTGAGGTCAAAGGGGGCTTGCCTCAGAAGTTCTTGAATTATCGCTAGTTTATTTGTGTTTTCGCTCGAGGCCATAGCCTTGTAGATGAAGGTGTTAGAAGGCTTTGTAAATCCCCATTCTTGAAATATAAGGACATAAAGCTCAGAAACTCAGCAGACACAGGTTTTGCTTTGAATCATTTGTTGTGTCTTCTTAGGGTCACACTTGCCCATTCACAATTACCCAGTGTCCTTTTGGGGGCATTGCCATGCATGAATTTCTTCCCAGATCTATATATTAGCAAACTCTGCCTTTGATCTCTAGTCAACCTCCTGACTGGCTAAGGGCTCCTCTGTGATCTTCCTTTTTTAAAAATATTTATTATTAATATAAGAAACAACAGGGGTATTTGAACCAGGAGACGAAAGGCTTCACTCTCTCTGAGTCTACCTTCCTTTCCATTCGCGTGCCTCCAGTTAGTTAAAATAGTATAATCTGCCGCCTTGAAATATTTTTGGAGGACGGGAGAGGGCCTTAGTTGACATGAGATAAGCCCACAGATTTCTGAGATGCTGTCATTGTATGGAGGTGCCTTTTCCTCCCTTGGTCCGGCCACAGGAATCCTATCTCCCCCAAATCCCCCTTCATCTCCCCTCCCCACCCCCAGTTCTGAAGCAGCAATAGCAGCTGCCTCTAACCCAGCTTTGTGTCTGAGAGCTGAAGATGTCTCCTTTCCACAGCCTGGAGTAACTGAGCCATATTCCTTCTGATTATTATACAGCTTACAGAGATGTGACCAATTTTCAATTACTTGATCTAAGGCACAGATAGAAGTGTACACCCTGACTGAGGATTTGCTGCAGAGTCCTTGCTTGCATAGATAGTGGATCTCAAATCCTATATTGCTACAGCATAAGCTTGATCTGATTCCAGACACTGCCAGCCCATGATTCCTTCCCCCTCCCATGCGTTTGTTCACTACACTAGGTTCTCCTGGAGGTTTCTGGTTGGGGTGGTTTGGGTTTGGGAGGGGACTCCCAAAAAGCCTCTAAGAACTGCCTCCAGTCTGCATATTTCTTCAGGGGTCCTGGACACCCCAAAATCAGGGGCAACAGGGGCAAAAGTCCTCCCTTTAATGAGCACAGCCAGGAGGATTCTCCCCTGCAGGCTGAGGACAGGTTGCTATGCACAGCAAACATGGCTCCAGCATCGTACATTATTTAATCCAAAGGTGAAAGAGGAAAAACAAAGGGACTAGAGAGGTCGCTGCCTCTGCAAGTGTGTGCTTCCCTCTCTAGCTCCCTTAGGCTTGGTAGGGGTTTGATTTATTTTTATTTGCATTGGGGGGGGGAGGTGGGAATGGTGAAGAAGAGAGTGGGGAAGTATAGAAGGAAGGCTTTCTTTTCTTCTATTTTTTTTCTTTTCCTTATCTTCTAAAATAGTAGTAATAATAGTGGCTGGGTGGTGGTGCCTTTGCTACTGGCTGGCCTAACCCTGTGCCCCTTTCACTGTCTCTCCCTCCCGTGGCTCTCGGGCAGACGCCTGTGGCCTGTCGGATGCCGCCCACATCGAGAGCCTGCAAGAGAAGTCGCAGTGCGCGCTGGAGGAGTACGTGAGAAGCCAGTACCCCAATCAGCCCAGCCGATTCGGCAAACTGCTGCTGCGACTGCCCTCGCTGCGAACCGTGTCCTCCTCCGTCATAGAGCAGCTCTTCTTCGTCCGTTTGGTAGGTAAAACCCCCATCGAAACTCTCATCCGTGATATGTTACTGTCTGGCAGCAGCTTCAACTGGCCTTACATGTCCATTCAGTGCTCCTAGACCTTGGGCGCGTCCCACCTGCCCCGCCCCCCTAGGGACTCAGAGGTCCCGGCCGGGCCAAGGACTCCAAAGCCGTGGGGACACCGGGCCACTGACTCCGGGTGCGGGGGCGGCGGGCCAGGCAGGCCGGGCGGGGGAGGAGGGCTGGGACAGGAGCAGCCCACCCTGCAGAGATGCAGCCCGAGCTGCAAACCAGGAGAAAAAGAGACTCTCTTAGGATCAGATCTGTGAGCACGTTGGAAAGGAAAGAAAAAGGACTTTGTGTCTGGTGAGAAAAAGAAAAAAAAAATTTGGAAGAGAGGACCATAAGAATTTTAATAAAACAGAAGGAGACTAGTGGACCTTCCAGGATTTATTGTGGACGGATGTGGATATATTCTGTACAGAAAACAACACATATGGAAGTGGACTGAATCCTATGTAGAAACACACACACACACCAAACATTGTTATTCATTTTGTAAAATACTAGTCTTTATTTTCATTTTTTGTAAAATTTAAACATCGTATGCGCATAAAGAAAAAAGGAAACAAGAATTAGGGGAAAATAACATTTTCCAAATAATTATAAAAAAATTGTCCTGTGTCTATGTATCTATATCTGTTTTGTATTTTTTTCTGGTTCCAAACCAGATTTCCTGTGATTCTATACTAATAATTTTTGATATAACCCTTTGCTTCTTATAATGAGTGCGATATATGTTGTCGAGGCTGTTCTTCAAGAATTAAAATTGAAGTGAAAATTTAAACAAAAATAAAAGAATTTAGCAAAACCCATGTGTCTGGTTGCTTGACAGATGTCTTCAGTGCAAGAGAACCCCTTGATTAGTTTCCACCTCAACTATTACTGTTGTAGAATTTGGCTCTTGAGGGGGAGGGATGGAGGAAACTTTTCAGGTGCATTACCAGGTTGACTAAATTCATTTCCTAAAATCAAGCCCCTGCCTTGGTTTTGTAAATGTGGAGGGCAAGGTTCAGCGTGGGCTGGGGTCTGCAGGGAAGTCAGGGTTGCTTTGGTTGCTACAGCGACCTTTTCCACTTTGTGGACTTCGAGGTGAACCAGTGTGCAGCTGAGCTGGGGGACCGGCACAGGCCAGGTCGCTAGCTCCGCGGCGGAGTCTCCATGCACCAAGCATTGGGGCCACAGCCTGCTTCAGTGACTCTGCGGCAGCAGCACCCAGGGCCTGACCGCAGTTGGCAACTTGCTGAGTTGGGAGGCATGGGAGATCAAGCATGGGGGTAGCTGGAGCAAGAAGGCCTCTCAGGCTGTTCTAAACCCTGCGCCCCCGGTGTACACCAGCGACTTGTTGGAGGGGGGAGTGGTGTCTCGCCTCATTCCAGTTCTGGAGCACGAAGTTGAGGCCTCAGCTCTGCGAGTCCTCTCCTCGCTTAGCTCGCCCTTATGGTTCGCTGAAGAGCTGGCTAGGATTTGCCTTTCCCTGCAGATCCTACGACAGGGGTTCCCAGGAGGGTTCTCTAGCTCTGGTGGCTGGGCGGATGGCCCCCCTGTGGCACTTTGAGGCATGGACCCGGAACCTGGGAGTCCAGCAGCTGGGCTGAAGCAGGTTCTTCCCAGAAGCGGCATTTGGGCCTAGTAACCCCTGCAGGGCCGAAACCTACCCCCACCCCGCCCCTCGGACTCACATTGAGTGTGCGTGGGGGGCAGTCTCTGTGACAGCTTTCGGAGCATGAATGTTTTATAGGATCCGAGCCTGCACTGCGAGAACACATACTGCCAAGGGAGCTCTTTCTTAACATACTAATAAAGCCAGATCTTTTAAAATAACACCTCTCTCCCCTTCCCCCCCTCCCCCGCCCCGAACGGGCCAGGATGAGGCAAGAGCTTCACTTTCAGAAGTCACTGGCAAGGTTTTGCTTTCAATTTGCTGTCTAGAAGTCTCCCACCCCCACCCCGCCCCGCCCCATGCATTACGCTCCTGCTCTCGATGTTCTGGGTTCAATGTAGCGGGGGCAGTGCGGGGACTCTGGAGAAGCCACTGCAGGTCCACACTCCGTGACTACACTTCCTGGGGACTATCTTGAGCTAGGGCAGCTAGGCTGAGAGAATGTGGAGCCATTGGGACGGCCTGCCCCACCCTCGCCCCAGCCCCATCCTCTGTGCCAGTCGAGAGACTATCTCTTTAGGCCTGTGTTGATTTTCCTACAGCCCTTCAGGTTGCACACCTAAAGCGGGAGGGTGGAGAGCACTCACTGTTAACCCTGGACCGCCGCCTAAGAAGAATCTGTAGCCCTCCGGGGCTGTGGGGTCTGTGGGATCACACTGGACAGGGGGATTGGGTTGGACAGGGCTGCAACCAGGGCGCGGAGGGGGAGGGGAGTGGAGCTGCCTCCCAGAGCGCACCAATCTTTCCTGCCTTTCTTGAAATGAGATGTAAATATATTCATTACAGTGTGATCCCTCTGATGAAAACAGATAAACATTTTCGTAGGGTCGGAAACGTATTTTTCAATTAATTTCAATATGGAGGCCCAAGCACAAGGCACCCGCTGTGGGTACTGGTCCGGCCTGCCAAGGCCGGTGATGTACTAAGCCCTCCTTCCAGTTCCGGTGCCTGGATGTAACTGGGCTCTTACTCGACAGGGCGATAGTGTTGCCCATGGCCTGGGAGAACCTGGCCACCTTTTAAAGTCCAAGCTGGGGCCAGTTCGCACAACGGGGGGAGCAGAGCAGGGTCAAGGGTCTCATGGACGCAGGGCAGACTCTGTCCAGGAGCCCGGAGGTCCCAGATGAGGGGTAGGGTGCAGCACAGGGCGCGCCAGGCTCCGCGGGCGGTCTAGGGCCCTGGCACTGCGTTTTTCCTTTGCTATCCCCTCGGTGGCTAGGGTGGTCCCTCCTTGCATTACAAAATGAGAGCGAGAGGGAGTGTGGTGGAGATCTCTCCGGGAATAGAGGTCTCTGTGTGTCTCATCCAGAGAGGCAGAACCTCCCAAGAACTCAGGAGTCCTGTGGGCACCCAGGACGGCCTGGACAGGCTGCGGGAGCCGGGAGCTTTCCGCTCTGAGAGCGCAGATGGGACTCACGAATCTCTCACGCTAAGGGAAAATTTAGCAGCTGAGATTACAAACATCTAAGGCACCAGTGGAGTGTCTGACAACTGGAAGCGCCCTCTCGCCACTCTCAGCAATCTAACGTCCCTACCCTCGCACTCCCAACCCTGTTGGGGTGAGTGGCCTAGTCCCGGGGCCTCCTCGTAGGGCAGAGGGGAGAGCCCTAGTAGCGGCTAGGCTGCCCCCACCTTCAGCGCCCTGCGCTTCCCTCAGCCTTGGCTACCGCTGTGACCCAGGATGTAAGGAGCAGGTGGGAGTCTCCTCCGCCTGGGTGGCCGCAGGGAGATCCAGGGCAGTAAGCTCGCCTTCATGCCGGGCACCAGGGGGAGCCGTGGTGCCGGGGTGTGAGGCTGCAAGCAGGTGTAGGCCAGATAGTTGCCTAGGGACCCCCTAGGCCTGCAGATGCTATTGCAGCCCTAAAGAGCGGGGAGAGCAGGGCTGGGCTGTCGGCACCGAAGTGCCTGGCTCCTCAGAGCCGGGCAGTGTATCCTAACAGCTGGAGCTCGACTCCCCAGAAGACTTCCTCTTCAGAATTACCTGTGACCTGGGAAAGTCAAATGTTCCCTTTTCTAATCCAAACACAGGGCCACTGAGAACTTTAGGAACTTTGAAGGCTGTTTAGACTACTTTAACTGCAAGCTTTGCTGAAAGCATCAGAAAGTCATCTCAGGATGTGCGCCCCTCTGGAATTGCTGGGAACCAGGCCGCACCTTCCATGCCTCCAGGGAGTAAGTGTAGGCATACAGGTGTGTGTGTGTGTGTGTGTGTGTTTCCCCACGTGCATATCCCAACCAAGGACCAAACCCAGTAGAAGCTCAGGAGTGAGAAAGCTCTCCCCTCCTGGCCACCTGGATAACTAACAGTGGGCTTCCTGGACTCCAGCCCTTAGTCAGCACAGGCTCTCAGCCCCTCCCAGCCTCAAAGCATCTTGGTTGGTTCCCACAGGCCCCACTTCCCTGAGCTCACCTGAGCTTGTCTGAAGTGTGAAGGGAAAAAGAAGAAGAAAGTTTCTTTTTCTGTTTTCTTTTTTTTTTTTTTAAGTCTCCTCTTTCTCCACTCATAGGCACTCTGTATTTCCTACAGTGGCAGAATGTCCTCCCGTGAGCGTGAGCACAGCGATTCCTCAGAACAAATCACCTGAATGTCTCTGCAAACAGGAGACTCTGAGGAGTGTGGGGAGGGAGTGGAGAGGGACACAAGTGGCAACTAATAAAACTCTTGTTAAAGGGCCTGCAGGATCTGTGGCATCACTGGGCCTTTTACTTGGAAAGCCAAAGAGTTGTATTCCTAAATGAGTTAAAGACCCATTTACCTCTGTCGTGTTCTATTCATCAAGCCACAAGTTGAGAGTCCCTAACATGGAACTATTTGTTTGCTTACACAACCAGCTGGGCGCAATTTCACGTCTGAGATATCTATCTGAAAGCGCCTCTCATTTATTATCTCTCCTTGTCAGCGAATCCATTTTCCCGCTCCCCCTCCCCCCCGGGGGTTTATTTATTTATTTATGGTGGGACTTCTTTGCCTGAGAGGACCTGGCGCTCCAATGCACCCCAGGGATCTGCCGTCCCCTGCTCTAGGTCGGCTGTACCAGAGAGCAACAGAGGCCAGCTCTCTGCCACAGCTGACCCCGGCTGGTGGGCCAGCCAGAGCGAGGGGTGGGCAGTGGGTGGGCTGGACACTGTGGAACTGCTTTCTCCTCGGATGTTCTCCCTGCTAGCTCTCCCCTCGAAAGCCTCAACCACCTGTAAAACGAGGGGATGAGGAGGTGGTGGTGGAGAGGAGACCCTGGAGGAGAGGCCAGGAGTCTTTCTAGGAGATGGGGATACGGATTTGAGAGATGCTATCACAAAGCCTCACCTAGTCCCACGGGACAATTGCTTCTCCTCCGAGGGCTGGAGTGCAGAGTGAGTAACCAAGATGTAAATAGTTGTGTGATGGGTTGGGGGAGGGGGCAGTGCATTTATTGTGTGTGCTGAGGGGAGAAGGCTGCACGTGGTTTCAATTTTGAAGCACAAAGAAATAACATGCAATGCAGAAAATAGGTTTATGAATGTAATTGAGAGGAAAGAAAACAATTAACACGGTGCAAGGTTGCACGCTCGATTCCCCACCCTTCCCTTCTCCCCCAATTTTAAGAAATCAGATCTTGTGAATAGAGTGGATCTAGGCAGTCAAATCCGACTGATAAGGGAACCCCTGATGGGGCTCTCAGTCAGGGCTGGATAATGGTGCCTATCCGTCTCCTAGTCTGTGAAGGCCTCCTCTAACCAAGCTGAAGGCATGGGATCAAATCCCCAAGTCCAGGCTGTAAAGTCCCCCCAAGTTGTTAGGAAGGAAAGAGAAGGGCTATCTGGATGGGAGGGAGAGAGAGAGAGATAGCAAGGGATTTCTTTAAGAAAGACCAGGCTGGTCTCTGCAAGCTAT